ATGGAGGAAAAGAGAAATAAATAAATAAATAAAAGAGGGGAAGTAGGGAGATAATGTCCACAGAAGGAGAGCAAACTGGCTGGTTTCTATGGTTACTGGCAACCCACAGCTAAATGATGTGATGGGGAGATAGTGATAAAGAGGGCAAGGCAAGTATGTGGACAAAGAACAGGCAGATGAAAGAAAAAGGAAAAATAGAAAGCCTGTATTGTAGCTGCACACTTTGTCTACTTTAGTTAGATGCCAAAGATTGTTGCATGTGACCATGACTGAAAACCATGCTACAGCAATTCAAAAACTGCAACAAGGTACAAGTGACATCAGTCTACAAAAGCCCCACATGAGATAAAACAGTACTGAGGACAGGCAGACCTCAGGTGTAACATGGCTATAAACCCTTAATGGAGTGGCTCATACCGATATCAGGGAAGAGATGAGGGAGAGTTGCATGACTACATCCTTATGAGAAGAGCCATGAGTCAGACATCCAGCTTGTCATGCCACTGATACCACTTCCTCCCAGTTGCACTTTTACATCATTGTAGACATGAGCAACTCTGACTAACTGAGCCTCTACCTGCTGACAAGGCTCATTACATTTTGTGTAAATTTAAAAAATATTACCTGATTAAAATATTTTACTGTGTACAAAGTTACAAATGGAGTTTGAAAAATAAAATAAAATAAAATAAAATAGGTAAATTGCACCTGGACCCTTCTGCTTCAATAGTCACTGGATAATCAAACTTTATATTACATTTTTATGCAGCAAATTTGAGTGAAACAATGCTGAAGTTGCAAGTTGAATGAATAATACCTTCTCTGTAGTAGGAATTTCTATTCCAACAAACTATAAAAACTGTGATACCAATGGAGTTGCAATAATTAGCTGACCAATCAATAGGCTCTAAAACAGGAGGATTTGATCACTTTGTCATATACAATAATAAACTGAATAATTTTTACGTTCAGACTGCTGGTAGGACAATACAGGAAGGCACACAGCACTCCCATCAGCTACAAACAGAATATAAATGCGCTGTGAATCTGAGAGGTGGAGTCTAGCTTGCCTGAGGCCAATGCCCTGTGCCCTTTTATCTGTCAACAGGCACAAACCTTACTAAAGAAGCACATCTAGAACAAACGCTGTATCGACCTGGTCAGTCTTTCAAAACTGCTGATGAATGTTTAATCAGAAGTAGCTGAAAGGCACATATAAAACTCCCCTTCCTATGGTTTGCTTCAGGAGCACATATCACAGTGGACAGTTTTTGTTCTATACGAGCGCATTGTCCACACACTTGCATGTTTAATTTGAAAGCCAACTGTACAACCACCATGTGAAGATATTTTCTGATGGTCTTGTTTATGCTCCCTCAAGCTTACAGAAGTTGTACCAGTGGTTGTTCTGAGATGACAACCACTGTGCAAACAGCAAAAGACAACAGGCCAGTGTTGTGTGATGATATAACCACCGTCTCTGCCAAGTACACACAAGGCCACTAGCAATGCATGGCTGTAATGCTAGAAAAATGTCTAAGTTAAAAAAGGCAATAAAACCCAGCTGATTTGCATTGCCTATAATCTCAACTAATCAATTAATTCACTAAGTGCAGCAATTTTATAATGAATACACATGTATTATCAAACATAAAATGGAAAATTGTGGTTGACGTGAAAAGCAAGTGATCAGAAAACCAGCAAGTGGATACTGTGGAGGACAAAAAAAATTTTCATGTATTTACAGTACACCCAGGAGGTTGCTCCTATTACTTAAACCATGTCCTTTTTATCAAAAAAAAAAAAAAAGGCAAAAATTAGGTTACAAAATACAAGAGAAAAACAAAAACTGGGTAAAAGGAAGTAAGAAAACTGGGGAGAGAAAGAGAAAGAGAAAGAGAAAGAGACCCATCATCCTATATCAGTCATTCTTCATCCCCATGTTTATTTCTTTTGTTTGCATTGGAATAACACAAAAAAGCCAAATCTGATACATTCCACAAAATACCCCAAAATTGACTGGACAGAATTATTGACATCCTCAACTTAATATTTGGCAGCACACTCGTTGGACAAAATAACAGAACTCAATCGCAGTGAGTTTCTTGAACCTCTATAGTGGAATTCTGGACCACTCTTCTTTTGCCAGCTGCTCCAGGTCTCACAGGTTTGAAGGGTTCCTGCTCCCAGCTGCTGTTTTGACATGTCTCCACAGGTGCTCTATGGGGTTTAGATCTGGACCCACTGCTGGCCACTTCAGCACATTGTCTGAAACTCCTTCTTGGTGCTTTTTGACATATGCTTTGGGTCAATGTCCTGCTGTAAGACCCATGACCTCTGACAGAGACCCAGCTTCCTGAAACCAGGCCCTACATTGTGCCCCAGAATTCACTGGTAGTTTTAAGATTTTATAATGCCATACACACAGTCAAGACATCAGTGCCTGAAGCAGGAAAGCAACCCCAAAACATCGGTGAACCTCCACCATGCTTCACTGTAGGGACTGTGTTCTTTTCTTTGAAGGCCTCGTTTCATTTTCTGAAAACAGCAGAATGATGTGCTCGACCAAAAACCTCTATTTTAGTCCCACCTGACCACAGGACATTCTCCAAAAAGGATTGTGGCTTCATCCGGTAAGTTTTGACAAACTCCAATCTGGCTTTTTTATGTTTCTGGGTCAGCAGTGGGGTCCCCCTGGGTCACCTCCCAGAGGGTCCCTTTTCATTCAGATGGCAACAGATAGTGCAAGCTGACACTGCTGCACCCTGTGCCTGCACGTCAGCTTGAATTTGAAAGTCGATGAGGTTATTTATCCACCATTCGAATAATCCTTCACTGCAATCTGTCATCTGTTTTTCTCCTTCGTCCACGTCCAAGGAGATTAGCTACAGCGCCATGGGCTGTAAACGTAGACAATGTTGCGCACATTGGACACAGGAACAGCCAGATCTCTGACTTGTAGCCTTGAGATTGTCCATGCTTTTCCACTATTGTGGTTCTCAAATTCTCAGACAATTCTTGGCTCTTCTTTCTTTTCAGTGGACCACACTGAGCATGGAGTCAACCTTTCTCCATTTTACCTGGTTGCAAGTGTGATTTCTATATTGCCAGCACCTGTTGATTGCTACAGGTGAGTTTCATTACAAATTAAAGGAACATCACATGCTTGAAATACAACTATTTGATGACTTTGAAAAGGTGCCAGTAATTGTGACCAGCCCATTTTTTGTGGAATGTAACAAATTTGGTTTTTTTAGCCAGGTACAGTCTGACTGTGCACCCTGCCTGGAAGGATTAATGAAACGCAGTTAACACAGTATTTTCCTATACCTCATTTAACTCAACTCCATGTCCCTTGAATGGCAGAAATCTTGGCATTTAATGTGTTATGCAATTACATTCACAGTCAGGGGATGATGGGGGAAAAAATATAGCCATCTTGTAACCCAAGACATGGACAAGACCGAGGGGATTTACTCTGTAAAGCAAAGAGAAAGTTCAACAGCAAAGGCCCTTTTGCAAACTGGTGCCTCCAGGTCTTTCAGGGAACAGACATTTTGTTTTCCATGTCTACTTACACTACGTGCCAGCAGGGACAAGTCCCCTGACCCTTGAATAAAACAAATGTCCTTTTCTTTGGCTATGCCAAAAGAAAGGTTGTTGTGAAGATGCTGCACAATCACAGCATCTGACTGTAGTGGTGACAAAACAGGATAAAAGGCATTTCACTGTTGATCCACACTGTAGAAATAAAACAGATGCTGTGGTTGATGTTGAACCATTTCATGCTTTATGATTTTAAGTTTTAAAAAAAATGTAATGGCGCGCACACACACACACATTAAAATTATTGTAGATTCACCAATTCCCCTGACTGCAGTGTGAACAAAATGGTGGTCTGTAATGATAAACAAGGTGCCACAGAAAGAATGGCATCCAATGAAAGATTAGCATGAATGGCACACCGGTCACTGTTCCAATCACTCCTTCTGCTACACTGCCTAATCAGCTGCTGGTTTTCACAGTAGGCCTCCCAGATGATGCAGCCAGCCAGGAAATTTGCTCTTAAGGACACTTTATGGCCAGCAAACTCAATGAAAGCACTGACTGAGCCAAGTGGCATCTCCAGTGGGTGGAATGCAACAGATATTTGAATGTGACTCATGAGGCCCCACACCATTTTCCTGTCAGCTGTGGGGGTGGGGGGTAACAGACCCCTCCCACAGAACTAATCTAAAAACACAAAAACATTGTTAGGAATGTTATGAGCCTTGTCATGTGATACCTAAACTGGACAAACCCATTGTGACGTCATCTATTGGTTTTCTGAAGAGCGGGTGCTCAAGTCTGGCTATCGCTATATTGTTATCGTTAACTCTTCACTCTGTCTGCTATGGCTAATCCAAAAATGTTTGTTAAGGCTGCATTAACTAGGATTTAGCAAAAATTCGAATAACTCAATTAAAAAAAATGTCTAGAATTATTTCTCCTTGCTGCTGCGGAGTCCGTCTCCAGCTGTAGTTACCACATATGACGTAGTTTCACAGACAAGGCAGGAGGAGCAAAGGGAACAGAAGAGGGGTTATCGCCTGAGCTTGTTTTGATTCTCACTCATTCTCCAGTGGTCAAGAGTTTGAGGGTGACCGTGGGCAAGAGGGGCTTTAAATTTAAAAGGGTAAAATTGCCATTTTTACCCATCGGCATACAATCAATAACCCATAATGACAAAGCATAAATGGTTTGATTTTCACTGTGTAATGGTAAAAAGTTAGTAGGCAAAAGTTAGTTAGAGCTGCTTTAAGACTAGCTGCTCTGGCCAGTACACAAGAAAAAGTCATGGTACTCCAAAACATAAAATGAAGTTATGGTGAAATTAAAACATGTCACCTGATACAACAGATGTGCAAAACACAGCAATTGGTGTGTGTATATCTACACGTTTCGGATGTGCCATCTTCAAATCTGAACCATATGTTGAGAAAGATGTGTTGGCAACTTACAGTTCATCTCGTTGTCGTTGTGACAGCACCATGGTGATGGGGCTGTGTGGGCGGGGCTGGGAGGGATCAGCTGGTAGAAGGTGAATATTGTGCAGCTGCTGCGCTCTCCTCAGTCAGGAGATGAGCTGTGCTGATCCAAGCAACACAGGTGAGCACAAGCTGTGGAGTCCAGTGGTGGGTGGTTGATTTTGTCCAGACAAAGGTTCAGACCTAGAGGAGGGGAATTTAGGAATCTGCCCCCCAAATGGCTGTCTCCAGGGACAAGAGAAGTGGAGAGCCTGCAGACCAGTCACCAGCCAAGTCTACACTGCATCTGGAGAGGACAGAGGGGGAAAGTAAGCACTGGATATGCATAACAGACTACATCAAAAGTACAAAACTAAAATCTGTGATTTCTAAAAGAAAGAAACTGCAGCTCCCAAGCTGTTGACAGCACTCACCTTCTAGCAAATAAAATCAACATAAACAAACATTTCATTAAAAAAACAAAAAGAAACAAAAACCCAATCTTTACATAAAGCCTCCATCAGCTTTCTTCATCTCTCATATCACCAGTCTGGTCTGCTAGCTCTGTTAGCTCTTGTGGAAAATTCCTGTCTCTGTGTACATACAAGAGCTGACCCACATTCTCTGAGCAACGTACTTCTCCTCCTAGGTTGCCAACATAAAAGAAAAACAGGACACTGCCAAGCAGGCTTGGGTAACCACTGTGCTCTTTTCAAAGTTCCCAAAACTCTATCGTCTCATTATGACACCTAAAGAACTGGCTGAAGAAGCTGATGCCACGACAGCATATTAGTGCTAATGTGAATATTCATTTATTGTTCAGAGTGCAGCATTGGTGTGAGGCACAATAAATGTGCAGTGCAGCCAACACTGATGTGAAGAAGTCTATTTTTACACTGCATCATTGTCTTGAAAAGGACTTCACCAAAGCAGGTATCCTCTAGAACATTAAATGAGCTACAATAAGCCTCAATCTACTGGGGCCAGCCTGACTAAACCTCTGCACAAAAACAAAGCCAATTTACATCCTTCTAGAGACCTGCAACAAACTGGCAAAACTACAACAAGGCACAGGCGTTCAGGCAAATGAACAGAAGACAGTGTGCGTTAGATGTGATGTATAGGAAAGAGGATAGTGACATAAACAGTGATGCTTCTGGAGTAAGCACGAGGACTGGAAGCAACCCAGAATTCACACGTTCTTCATTTCATCTGATGATGTAGGAGTGACACTGCCACAAAGGAAGTTTACTCTTTTTTACTGCTGCTGTAGTTTGCACAAAAAGAGCAAAGTAAATTAGGGACCTAGTACATAATATATATTCAAAACATGAATATAGAACTGACCTACCAGGGACACAAAGGCCATTGCTGAATTTATTAAGTAAAACTGTACTGTTTGCATATTTGCCTGTGCAACACTTTGACATTGCACAAAAAAAGAAAGCAGCTACCTAAAGTAGCCAACAAATAACCTGTGGACCCTGATGTCACCATCTGAATGTGGGCCAAATGTTCTGACTGTGTGGATTATGGCATGCAGGAGGGTTTCTGGCTGCTGCCCAACAACTGTGCCAGAGTTTTGGATCACAGCAGCACAAAACACAATAAGATGACGGCAGAGAAGCCAAAAATGGCTCTTTCTACAATTCCATATTCCTAACAACCATTGAAGGCACATGCCCTCTACATGAACATTTAGAACCACTGTGTGTGAAATTAGGTCATCTACTATATATTAATACTTAAGCATAAACTTTATGCTTGCATCTGCGCTGCTGGCAGCTGTCATCACTGCATGTATCATTAAAGTGTGTTAGATTTCTCTCTATGAAAAGCTCATTTAAGGCTTCAGTGCTGAGCACATTTGCACAATCACATAATCAGACTAACTGGCTCAGCAGAAAATGTTGTTGTATTTTGATGTATGGGGAACGGGGTGCAGTAGTGGTGCATCTGTAAATCCGCCCACTGACAGGTAATAATGGTTATGCGTCTTCCTCCCCATGATTTTATTGTCTTACATGTGGCAGCAGAAACTGTACAATAAAGAGTCACTTACAGTAATCGCGCTAACTGCTTTGAGATTATGTTTAATTAAATGATGAGTCCGACCAGGTCCTAAAGCCATCTCTATGGAAAACATCACGTCTGTCAGATTTAGAATTTAACAAAAACCAAGTCATAACAGTAATGAACCACATCCACTGTATCACTGTGCACAAACCCTGAAGTTATGAAGCCAACCAGAAGAACTACACATTTCAAAAATGCGTACCGCCTAAAATGACATCTCACCACTGATGTACTGTATATATGGACATAGTGTCACCACCTTTGGGGGCGGCTGTGGCTCAGGAGGTAGAGCAGGTTGTTTCCTAACCGGAGGATTAGCGGTTCGATTCCCGGCTTGTCCAGTCAACATGTTGAGGTGTCCTTGAGCAAGACACTAAACCCCCAGTTGCTCCTGGTGATGTCACTGGTGTGTGACTGCTTGGGAGTGCGAATGGGTGAATGGCCGAATAATGTGTGAAAGCGCTTTGAGTGTGCTGTAAAAGCATAGAAAGGCGCTATACAAGACCATTTACCTTCCCCCCACTATGCAAAAACAAGAAATACAATTTTTCATATCATCAAATAACTTATTAAAAACAAGCTTTTTATCTGATGTGCACTTTTGAGTTTTTTCTGTGGCTCATGTCCCATCCACTAACATGAAGGAGGTGGGATTTATTACCTCTATTGCAGCCAGCCACCAGGGGGCGATCATGCCACTGTGGCTTCACTTATGAGAGCTCCTAGCCTTCTATCATTTCTACTTTTGATGGATTTCACTCAAATCAAACCATGCAACTACAACAGGGAAAGCATGTTACAAAACATGTAATGTGTCAGAAGATCTTTCAGAAATTATGCTACAAAAAAAAGCTGTTAACTACTAATAAAGTTTAAGGAAATCCTACCATAGTCAACATACATGCAACTTAATTTACATTGATAACCTGTAGGACTGCTATAGACCAATTAATTAGGCATCTAGATAAAAAGATAACATATGAGTCCACAGTACCATATAACAGAGAAAAAGATAACATAATTTATAAATACAATATTAATTATTAATATTCATAATATTATTAATGCACATTCCCTTGCTTGTTGATATGTACGTGCACAATGAGAGCCGCTGTACCAGAGTCAAATTCCTTGTGTGTCCAACACACCTGGACAATAAAGCTGATTCTGATAAGAGTCAGCAGTACCATATAACAACTTTGCGTTACTTCACCTGCTGTCCAAGGCAGATGAGCCATGTGTACATTATTTTAAATGCTTCCACGTTTGAACAAAGAAGCATGACCCCAGGGCATAAAGTAAAGTCTGAGTGTACAAAATTGTTTCCCAGAAGCTCATCACAAAAATACCATCACAACAATGTTGACAATGCTGACAGTCACCATCACTTCTGTTTCACACCTGTTTCTGGAATCTGGAGCACCTTCATTTTCTGTTGGTGACTTCACCTTCATGTCACCCGTGTCCTGGGAAAGTGACATTATATTCAGGTTTGACCATCTTAAAGAAAAAACATGGAGAATTTCTGACAAGCTAAACCAACCTATGCATGAAAAGCTAAAGTACTGAAAGATGCATCAAAATACCATCAAAAGGCAATGTCACGTGCATTTCAGGACAGGGTTTATAAGGTTTTATGAGTCTAGTTGGGCACGAACAATCCAGGTCAACATAATGGGGACACAAAAGTCTTTTGTGCAGACTGGTGCATCATTTTGAATTAGGGCAAGAAATTAAAATTGTTGTGCAATAGCTTTATCAATTTATTCTTTTGTGATTCATATTTTTCTGTTAACACCTATGATACGTTTTTAAAACATAAGAATTCAACTTGACATTATTAAAGATTATGTAAAACCTGGCCATTGAAATTTCTGAACTTTTCAGGATTTTTGGTGAGACTGGGGAAAAAAAAAAAAAATCACAATGATTATGAGGGAACATAGAACTAAACCTGGCTAACAGCTATGCAATGTTCAGTTTCTGATAGTTTTATTTGGCTGTCCCACTGACAAGTCATAAATTTACAAACAGAAACAAAAGCGTGACCTGAGCACCTCATCACTAACACCTTTAGTTATATGAGCAAATGCAAGCAGATGAATGAATTAACATTTTTGATTAAGCAGCTTTTGTGGACTATGTCTCTATGAGGATACAGCTAACCATAGTAATTTACACACCTGCAGCGCATCAATGTGCTGGATCAGATAGATAAATATGGATAATTTATTATGCCAAGCAATGAAAATCAATAAGATGGTGCAGCTCTGTTATTAGCCTTTGTGCAAGCCTGTTCATAGATGCTTTAAAAAAAAAAAAAGGTAATTACAGGGAATGTGAACTGCAAGAACGTCCTCTAACTAACAGGACTGAGAGGCTGAACATTCTGTAAATCATCTCCAGCTTCTGTAGTTGTCTGGTTGTCCTAGTTAAAGCACTCAGACTGAAATCCTCCTATGAGCTTTATCACTAGCTGATGATGAAATTGCGGGACCATCTGGCTCAGATTTCATCTGCAGCCGTTAGGACCCAAAAGGTGTCTCTGTCAGCCAGAGGGTTGGTGGTAATCACATCAATCAAGGATTCAATCAGTATGACATAAAAACTACATTTCAAGCACCAGATGAAAAAAATACTCATCTCTCAATGTGAGTGTAGGTTGCCAATGAAATGGCTGGGCCATCATCCTAACAGGTTTCTGCAGGGTTGTAGAGCACAGTGTATTTGGCATTTGTAAATCTGTCTTTTCATGTTAAAATGCTCATTTTCACACATAATACTTTACTTAAATATCAAAAATTATTTCTCCTTTTGTATAACCTGTATGTGAGAATTCAAATATATGAGCCAGACATTAAGAGGACTTAACCCTGCCATGTAATGTCCAAGTGAGCTGGAGTGAGCGCATGTGAGAAAACAGCAGTGAAGAGTCTGGAGCATTCACACAATACTAGCGTGGGTATTGATGACATTCTATCATGTGACTAGCGTGAAACTGGAAGAAAACAAACATCGGATGGTGAAGAAAAGTGGTCATTTACAATGAGGAAAAGACTGACAAAAATATCTGACTGGCGACACAACAGGATTTGGGAACTTATGTCATTAAGAGCTGGCACCAGAATTGTTAAGACACATTTACGGTACAGCAAGAGACTTTGGTTGTTTATGACCAAACTGGAAACTGGCTACGTGACCGTGTCATGCTCCGTCTCCTGTGCTTTCTACCCATGCGCATGAACTAAATTTGCAGTAAATGAGAACACCTTTGACACACACCATCTCCTGTTGTGTGTTAGGTGACAAAACTCTGGACAAAGTCTGGGCCTGATTCTGCGGACGTAATGTGGTACTCATGTGCGACACTATAACTGGTAGCAAAGGCTGAATTCAACTGCCTCTGGCATGTGCTGGCAGTAGTGTTAATTTCAACACTGTCAGACATTTCCTCATAAATTACAATATAATTCATCCCAACAATGTGTCAGAGAGGTCAACTGTAAGATGCAGGCATTTGCTGCTGGCATCAGGTCAGTAATGGCCAGTCAGCTAGTAGTAGGGCAAGCTGTTTGGAAGGTCAGGGATGGAGAGTAACATGGGTATCTGCCCTTCTGCCTGTCCAAACCACAAAGACAAAGAGCCTCTCCCTCTCATTATTGTCTGGTGACACATAATACACAACAGATCCCTCTGCAAAACTGTACATTTTACTCCTTTCAGACAAAACCTCCAACAACCCAATTGTTCTGTTCTGCATGTTTGAAAGAATAAAATCAATCAATCAATCAACCCTGTCAGTCTTTACTTTTACAAGACACAAATACCCTACAAGACCTGAGACTATCCTTTGTTTATGCCCCTGTGGAAACAAAGGATAGTGGAAACAAGTGCCAGTAAAACAACTCTTGCAACTACTGAAGCTTTCTATTGCAGTGATGTACATTTGGTTTGCTGTTTCTTTTACTGTCGACAGCACCGAATAGAGCCTGGCCACTGAGATGCACTTATTCAAGTCAACTTCTAATAAAACTTGAGGCTGACTAAGAGCACTTTCAAGTAAAACCAGCTCACTGCATCCACTGGCTCCTGCAGTTACTGCTAGAGAAATAAAGCATGTCTGTATTAACACTAACAGTTCTGCCTTTAATAACAAATGTGAGAATGGTGCTGGTCTATTGAAAGCTAATAAAATATAGACTGATTGGGTTGTCATTAACCAGCACTGAGACAAAAGAGTACAGCAAACCATTTAAAACCCAAGAGGAAACCGAAGAGTCACTCCACTTTGACCCACCACAGGTGGTAAGGTATTTATCTGTTATTTTAAGAATTAAACAAGCATTAGTACTGCTTAAGCAGAATCTATTTAGTAATTTGTTTAAGAGATAATCCTGTTTGTTGAGATTGATATTCACAAATGAGTCATCAAACACCAACAATTTTACCTGAGAAGACAGCACACAGTCAGTGTTTCTTGTTGATCCTGAACACCTCAAAATTTAAAAGGTTTCATTAATATCCCATGAAACCTACTGACCAGATGTGGCTGGGAAAAGTAAAGCCGTTCAGTATCCTGGCTTCAACTGATGCTTTATATCAGAGATCACAAGGTTTCTCCAAAATTTAGAGGATTTGGTGCACAACCTTGTGAGCCATCACTGCGATGATCTGCATTTATTTCAGTGTCAGCCCTCCATCATGCATCCACACAATAAGTGCGTAAACATGCAAACGGAAGACGAGGCAGACACAATTCATACAAACTCATCGCCTCTTGTGCTCCACCCTGATTTTCTAGCACAGTGCCAACAAACCGCATGAAGCAGAGATGAGAGCTTCAGCTGAGCACTGCAGACAAAACCAAGCAGTTTGACAGGCATAAGTCGTAAAGTGGGGAACATGTAATGTTAGAAAACTGCAGCAGGGCTGTTTGGTGGTCACGTTCAAACATATCTGCACAACAAATTAAAAAAAAAACTAGATGATGGATATCACCTAACTCCCTTTCCAAATGCCATCATTAGATAGGGCAGTGTTGCAAACTTGCCGTTAACAACGAAATGTCCACACGGTAACAAAATTAAAATGTTAAAAGGAGTTAACGTACCAGTAACAGATTTCACATTAGATGCCAGGGGTAACGTCGTGTGACCCGGCGTTACATTTTGTTGTCGATGTCTTTTACAAGGTTGACAGACAGCGAGTCTGCTAACGTTATACCGCTGCTTTAAACTATGCTAATTACTGGTTAATACCAACTTGGCCCTGCCATGTTTAACAAACTGACAGGTTTTCCTGACTTTGTCGGTAACAATTTTGGTCGAGCTAACGGCCGGTAACGTAATATTATCCATGTTAACTTATCGTTAGCTAACTAATGTTAGCTAAAGTTAACGTTAGCTAAGTTAGCTTACCGGACCCCGGCGATGCAGTCAGAAAGTTGGCCCGTATATTAAGCTAACTCTTCACTCCAGTGAAAACAATATGAATTCAAGCTGAATACATTGTTAGCTACACTTAACCTATACGATATCTTAGGCAACCCTTTTGCATTACTCCAAACGCAGATTGCCCAGGCTATATGGACACACGGATAAACTGACAAGGTACCTGCTGCTGCTCCGGTCCAAGCGGCCTGTCCGCCATTTTGAGACATATAAAGGAGGTGCAAAAATTACAGCCACATCGTCATGTTCCCCACCTAACGCCAGATTCCTTCGACACCGACCGGCTTCACAATTTAGAACTATTTGAACTCACCCTATTGTTTCTGCCTGTAAATATCCCCAGCTGACGCCAACGGCAACACAACCCGACAGGGCGTGAAATTTCCGCTCCAAAATATGATCTTGTGATGTGGAGGTAAACTGATCCGGTCTCGACTCTCAAGCGCTTTTGCTTGTTTTCCGGCGATCCTACCGCATAGCCTTCAGTCGGGCACGCGCACGAAGCTCGCGTTCACGGTCTGACGGGAGCGTGCACGCCCTTGATAGCAGAAAAAAGCCTTGTTACAGCGTCAGAACAGTTTTAACTGCTACAGTCAGGTCCATAAATATTGGGACATCAAAACAATTCTAACATTTTTGGCTCTATACACCACCACAATGGATTTGAAATGAAACGAACAAGATGTGCTTTAACTGCAGACTGTCAGCTTTAATTTGAGGGTATTTACATCCAAATCAGGTGAACGGTGTAGGAATTACAACAGTTTGCATATGTGCCTCCCACTTGTTAAGGGACCAAAAGTAATGGGACAATTGGCTTCTCAGCTGTTCCATGGCCAGGTGTGTGTTATTCCCTCATCCCAATTACAATGAGCAGATAAAAGGTCCAGAGTTCATTTCAAGTGTGCTATTTGCATTTGGAATCTGTTGCTGTCAACTCTCAAGATGAGATCCAAAGAGCTGTCATTTTTTTGCATTTGGCTGAATATGAGCAGATAATATTGCCCGAAACACTTCAGAATTCATCCTGCTGCTTTTGTCAGCAGTCACATCATCAATAAATACAAGAGAACCAGTTCCATTGGCAGCCATACATGCCCACGCCATGACACTACCACCACCATGCTTCACTGATGACGTGGTATGCTTAGGATCATGAGCAGTTCCTTTCCTTCTCCATACTCTTCTCTTCCCATCACTCTGGTACAAGTTGATCTTGGTCTCATCTGTCCATAGGATGTTGTTCCAGAACTGTGAAGGCTTTTTTAGATGTCGTTTGGCAAACTCTAATCTGGCCTTCCTGTTTTTGGGGCTCACCAATGGTTTACATCTTGTGGTGAACCCTCTGTATTCACTCTGGTGAAGTCTTCTCTTGATTGTTGACTTTGACACACATACACCTACCTCCTGGAGAGTGTTCTTGATCTGGCCAACTGTTGTGAAGGGTGTTTTCTTCACCAGGGAAAGAATTCTTCGGTCATCCACCACAGTTGTTTTCCGTGGTCTTCCGGGTCTTTTGGTGTTGCTGAGCTCACCGGTGCGTTCCTTCTTTTTAAGAATGTTCCAAACAGTTGTTTTGGCCACGTCTAATGTTTTTGCTATCTCTCTGATGGGTTTGTTTTGTTTTTTCAGCCTAATGATGGCTTGCTTCACTGATAGTGACAGCTCTTTGGATCTCATCTTGAGAGTTGACAGCAACAGATTCCAAATGCAAATAGCACACTTGAAATGAACTCTGGACCTTTTATCTGCTCATTGTAATTGGGATGAGGGAATAACACACACCTGGCCATGGAACAGCTGAGAAGCCAACTGTCCCATTACTTTTGGTCCCTTAACAAGTGGGAGGCACATATGCAAACTGTTGTAATTCCTACACCGTTCACCTGATTTGGATGTAAATACCCTCAAATTAAAGCTGACAGTCTGCAGTTAAAGCACATCTTGTTCATTTCAATTCAAATCCATTGTGGTGGTGTATAGAGCCAAAAATGTTAGAATTGTGTCGATGTCCCAATATTTATGGACCCGACTGTATATCTTTTTTGCAAAACAATAATTTTCATATAAAAGATATGATCAGCGTGTATCGTATTATGTGCTGTTGTAACTTAAACTACATAACAGTTTACAGTATTAAGTAGCTAAAATGCAACCACAGAGTAGTAATAATACAAAAATATAACACCCTGACAGGACCTATTTTGGATATTTTTATTTTAAATATCTTAAATAAATTTTGCTGCTAATACTTCTGTATTTCCACTTAAGTAAAATTTGGAATGCATTATAAAGTGATATTACTTTTAATTAAGTAAAGAATCGCATTAGGCCTACTTGTTCCATCGCTGGCTACTCATATGAGTTATCAAAACCCCAAACAAAACTTTTACTAGTTTTATTGTATTCCTTTTAATCTGAGAGCATACTCAGACCAAAATATAAAAAGACCATTATTCTATAAAGAGCAACACACATATCACATATCATCAGGAGAAACTGACTCCAACACTCAGTCTAAGAAGCCTTTGAGTAGAAGAAATTTCATTAGCTGGGAAACAAAAACCTCAGACAATTATTTTGGGTATCACAGAAACAATAACTGCAATACAACCGGTGGGCAGCAAAGTGCATCATATTTTGAAATAGATATTAGATGTTTTCCCCACAATACATTTTCTCCTCACAAGTTTGTTTAAAATAGGTTGAGGTTTTTGTAACAACTCTTTTGCACAGGGTCCACATAAAAATTACATGAATACTTCATCTTTGGTCTGCCTTTATGCTTAACACTTATATTCCACACTTTGCATTTCATACAAACTGCAAAGTCACAGCAAATTGTATATTTACTAATTTTATGTGAAGGAACACACTATGACTTTAGTTTTTTATTATGAGATGTATTCATTGTTCTCACTACTGATGCTGTTGTCTAACATGAAATAACATTTCATTGATCTTAATTAGCTAAAAGTATTCAAAACAAACCATAATGGGGTCAGAATGATGCCTCCAACTACACAGAAGCACTATGTTCAAAGAGCATAAAAATGCAAGACTATATCTGCAGACAAAAAGTTTGAGTTTTCAATTAGCTTATTCTATATCAAACTGTAAAACACAAACATGACTCAGCATTGGTGGGGTTTCAACAGGTTTGGATCACATTCGGCAGGTGGCAATCTGTGTAATGTTGGGCCACATAACTAATGAGGGGTTAAAAGGCTAAATATTTCATCCCCCTAACTTTAAATTTGTCTAAGCCAACTGAAGCCCATGTGTGTTTGTGTGTACTTGCACTGCAACAGCTTTTGTCATTTAGGCCAAATATGTCCTTCACAATGACACATATTAGTGTGCCACCTTATGGCCATTGTTGGTATTATTGAGCACAACTTGCAGCAGGAGGGAGTCAATGAATAAACTGAAAAAATTATACATAAAACCCCTAAAAAATAAAACAAAGGCATATTTGAGTTTTCCTGGTATCGCCCTGATTTCATTCAGTAACATAAATACAATACACATCATGTTCTGCTATTGATGTTATGACAAGTTTTAGGAGCACAGTCAGGAAAATCACTGTAGTAACCTCATTCCACAGCCCACAGAGCTCACCCTTTTTTCTTTTTTTTTTAAATTCAGCTCCCTTATTTTCAGGTACTTCCACCAAAACAGTTAAGCAGTCCATCCTGCACATCTTGCACCAAGTAAAAACTGCATTTTCTAATAACAATCAGGTCCAGGTCCAGCACCATCTCTCTATTGCTTTAATCACATACATTTAGACACGGCAACAATTCAGTGACAAATTGCCATGGGAGGAATATATTGCATGTATACAAGCACAAACAATCCTTAATCTGTCTTTTTGGTACATCACATTGAGGCAGCCCTTCTTTTGTCCACCTTGGATGGTGCTATGAAGATGTTAACACATCCAAACAGCACAGAAAAGTGCTCAATGAACCAGATGTTCCAAGCTAGTTTTTGTCTGTTGCTATGAAAGATGTCATGACAACCCCCACCCTCCCAAAAAAATAAAACGCTTGGAAAGCTGATGTTCACTTAACCTCTATTCAAACTATGCAGCAACAGCCCTTGCCAATAGATTTTCTGTTGGGCTACACAAAGACAGACACACTGTCACACATACAAACATACATGCACATATTTTTTCAATGTGTAAAAATAGAAGATTGAACACAGCTACTTTATAGGTACTGTAGATAAATGTACTGAGTAAGATGGACGTTTTTCAAATCTGCATTTTCCATTAACATCAATCAAGTTTGTCTAAATCTGATAAAGATTTATACATCGTTTTCCACTTCTATACATTTCTATAAAATAGACATGGCTTAAATTATCTGATGGTCAACAGATCTAAAATATCTTCTTAATTCTCCTGTGCACTTTTACAAAATGTATTATTTACTAAAAAAAAAAAAACAAACAAAAAAAACTGAAAATGACATCAAACTAGTTCAAAGCCTGCTGACGTATCACTGTATCTTTTGCTTGGTTGTAAAAATAGGAACAATGGGACACAGCTGGCACCCACCTGGGATGTCTTAAGTACAAATAATAGAATGACTGAATGAATTAAGCATCAGTGATGCACAATGACTGGTAATGGCTGCAAAGTGGCTCAAAAAAAACCAATGAGAGGAGATTTTACATTCTGAAGCCCCACTTGAAAAATCTCAAATTTAGTAACTGTAATCTGGTCTTAGTGCACAGTAAAAAGTACCCCTGAGTTCTAGGGCAGGGCAGGTGCTTTGTCATTCAGAGCAGCACATGCTCATGGGGTATATGAAGATCCCGGTGGGGGAAAATGTGGTCCTGGGCTAACATAGCTGTGGGAAGATTTATTTAGAGAATAGGCTACAGTGGATAAGGCTCTGGTATACAATGTCATGGTCATCCCCGGGCTCCTCGCTCTTTCATATATCATTATGTTTCTAAGTAACTAACACTTTAGGTGACTTCATCACCATGTTCTTGGGCCTATTTTTTCAGATTGCACGCTGACATCGATTCTGCTTCTCCCTCCCTTCCTACATTGTAGGAAATTCCTGCCCTGTATTCCTTTGTCCTACAGTTCATTCAGTTTGTTCTCTGGACTGCCCTGACCCATCCCTCCCCCTGTTTATTTCAATGCTGATTTAGAGTGCTCAGTTCTTGGGTCCACAGGCTCAGTGACATGAGCTGCTGTGTCACAGCCTCTCTCCCTCCATAGCACAAAGTAGCTGTGCTGAGCGCTTTTGGATATTAATCAATGGGAATTTTGTCCTCTAGTTCCAGTGGACTGTCCTCAATGGGCTCCTCACTCCTGCCCAGCTCCTGCAGCTGCTGCCGCCTCTGCACCTCTGCCTTCAGGTTCTCCAAATCCTTTTGGCTAAAAAAAAAAACAAACAAAAAAAAAAAAAACAAAAGGCATCTATAAGAAGTTTCTAGTGTAGCTTGACCCTTTACATTTTTTTGGTATTTCCTTATACTCATGAGTGGTTCCTTTACTCATGCCCGAAGTTTATTAAAAAGTAGCTTACTGAGCTATATATATATGTGGATATCACTTACCAAACTGAGCTTTTTGCCCGTTTTAAATGAAGAGTTTTACCCAAAATGGAATTTCAGTCATTATTATCATCTACGAGGAGTTTTGTCTGCTGAGAAACAGGGTGACATTTCATAATTCAACTTTAAAGGAAGAGTCTGGGAATACTAACAGTACCACTCTCATATCTGTGTGGTAAACAAAGTACAAGCCCCGTAAATCCAGATGTTTGTACAGTTTAGCCAAACAAGATAACATTTTATTTTTGTGAGCTTTAGAGGTAGTAGGGGAATTTTGTTTACTTTACCCTGCTTCCAATATTTATGCTAAGCTAACCTATCGATGGCTGTGTGCAGATATCAGAATAGCATCAGTCCTCTCATTTGTACATAAAGTGCTGTGACAAAACAACTGCTAGCTTACATCATCTCCAACTGAAGGTACAGGAGGCACTACAAGGGCACAGGGGTGAAAGTCATTATTAGGAGCTGAACTTTTTCCAAGGACAGTTCATTAAGTATCGACAAAGGACCTTTATAATTACATGATTCCAATGTAATGCAGCTAGAGCAAATCCTACTTTTGTACGCAGTGTCAAACCAAGTGTTTAGAGTATTATAAACCCCATGTAGACAGAATGATCCTTCCTGATCCTACCTGAGAGGTATAAAGATGATGCCATTGATGATGTTGAGCTGTTCCAGGACACTGGCCATGCTGGGGGCAGTGAACTGGAAAAACAGGAGGAAATAACAACATAACTCCAGTGCTAAACCAGACGCTGGCACAGTTAACACGTCCGATTCAGAGCAGTCACCTTGAGGGGCATGATGCTGGCGTTGGAGCCATTCTTGTAGATCTCGTTCATGGTTCTCTGCAGAGCTACAGCCTGCTGCGTGAGATACTTCAAATACTCTGAGCTCTCCTTGGTCTTCTCATGTGCCTCACCCATCTGGCAACAGAAAATAAATGATCACATCTAATAAAAACAAGTGTGTCAGCAGCCCAGCCTCACAGAGTCCAGCAGAACCCACCTGGTTCTTGTAAATGGTGTAGCCCTCCTTCTCGTGCTGTAGTGCAGAGCGGAACTCGGCCTTGCTCTCGTAAACCCTTGCAACCAAATGATGGCTGGAAAAAAATAAAAAAGGTTCACATCATGTAAATCATCATGATAGACAGCATTTTTAGCAACCTTATGTATGATGAATCGCCCCACCCACCTGAGGGCCACTTTGAGGGACCGGGGACCATGGTACTTTGTGTTGATAGTCAGGGCGTTCTCCAGGAATCTCAGAGATAAGTCGTACTCCATCACTCCGTGCAGCACCAGCCCAATGTTACTCTGTAGAATGAGAGCAAAGAGCATTCGACACAAAAATGTGGTAGGTTGGATTTTACTGATTTAATCTGTACTGATGCATTACGTTAGAAGCAGTTAATAGTTCTGTTTAAAGCACTCACATCTAGCAGCGCCATCTCTGGGTGGTCCTCTCCACAGACCAACAACATGAGGTAACGAGCACGATAAAGCAGCTTCAGGGCGGTCGACAGTTGGCCATTCGCAAAACAGTACAGAGCCAAGTGCATCTGAAAGGGTGAAGGGAATAAAGAAATATGTTAGAGAGATACTAAGCACGAAGTGAAGACTTCCTACATTTTGCATGACAACTTACATATTCTTGAATAGTGTTCGGGTGTTCGATGCCGAGGACTCTTTCACTCATCAGGACAGCCTTTTGCTGGTTACTGAGAGCCTGCGGGCAGATACGCACTCGTCATGACCTACAAAATCAGTACTGCACTTGGTTAAAACTACTGGCAATGTAAGAGCTGCCATATTTCTACCTACCTCAGGATGGTCTCCCATGATGTAATTAAGGCGTGCCAGTAGGCGCAGACAGGCACAGATTTCTACATGCATGGCTCCGTACACATTGTTGAAGAGGTTGAGAGCCTCGTTGATCAGCTCACAGCCCTCCTTCAGAAAACCTGCAAATGTAAAGGAAGAACAGAAGGACCGAGTTCTGTTAAAAGATTCTTTATTCAAAATGTTTAGGTTTCTAAACCAGTGCATATGCCTCCACCTGATGGAGTAAACACAGGAGTCTCACCTTGCTGCACTTTGGCCTGTCCGCTCTGGAAGAAGTGGAATGCGTCTGATGCTTTGGGGTTAACATGCTTCACAACAGGAAAAATATTCAGGATGTCCTCCTCTGTGAAGGCAGGCTTGTGGCGGCTGTCAAAGTTGTACTCCTTTATCAAAATCTACAAGGCAAATTAAACCGATACGTAAAAAAAAAAAAGAAGAGAAAAGTTCTTAATGGTCATTTGGTATAGTGACACTGAGAGAGGGTCACTACAGATTAACCATTACCTGAATGCCAGTTTTGACTGAAATTTCTCTAAGCAGAGTGATCTTCTGAAAGCCATACTTCTCCACCACCTGGTCCACACTTTCACTGAGTAAGACAGGATATTTGTCACCACTAATCACACCCAAAAAAAATGCAAACACTTGAAAGAAGAAGAGGATCCTCATGTTAGCCTCAACATCACTGGGGCACTCACCACTGTATGCTGAAGTGATAGTAGCTCTGAGCCTCAGAGGAAATGTTCTTCCACAGCTCACTGGGTGTCAGGCTCGCCCACGTTGTGTTGTCTCCACCACCGGGGACCCTGTTGCGACGTTTGCGGCTTTTGCGGCGTGACACCAGCTCATCGGGAGGCAGGTGGCCGACAGCCTCGGGGAAGGAGCTCAGAAAGCAGTTTAGGAAATGGCTTACAGCGGCAGACAGGGCAGACAGTTCCACACCCTACATGACAAGGAACATTTTAAATCAAGATAAATACATGTAGGTTTGTCTGTTGTTGATTAGATATGTCTGTTAAGTGTTACCAACCTGGAGGTATGTCTTGAAGATATGTTTTGCACATCTAGTGATCAGCTCACTGACTCCTATCCTCTAAGGCACAGAAAAAAAAACATTTGTTTGCCTAAATGACACAAAATGCATGATGGTGGCTATCAGATGTGAGGAATGAGACTCACATAGACGTGCCCCAGCTGGGCTCTGGCAGGGGTCTTTTCTACAAACTCCAGAACAGTGCCCAAATAGCGAACATTGATGCCTCTCTGGTGTAAGGCCTCTGTCAGTGTGGCTCCATCCATGGGCAGAGCACTGTGGTCCAAACAGTCTTTAACCTGGTCATGAAGCACACAAACAAATGGCTTTAATATCCAAAACACAACTAAAAATCCTGGTGACCTGGTTCTGTGTCACTTACCAGTGATGGGATCTGGCAGGAGACCAAGAAGGCAGCAGCATCTTTAAACAGCTGCTTCTGCTTCTGAATGTCATCTGTGCTATGATCTGGGAAACGCACACCTGTTTAAAAACACACACACACACACACACACACACACACACACACACACACAGTCATGTTTCCATCACTTCAGAGAAAATTACACTAATTTCCTGGAAACCTACCCTCTAACACCTGACCATAACCAGTACTTACCTAACCATACCATAAACTTAAACCAAGTCATGACTTCAAAATTTTATGATTTTTGACCCCATAAAAACATTGAGTCTCCACAGTGTAATCAGATTTAAGTCCACACAACATCAGCACTACCAGCTTTGACAAGCACAAGCATTTATGCCTTTACTTCACAGTGGGTCACAGAGAGATGCAAGTAGGCAGTGACAGGGAGCGACATGCCACATAGGTTCAGCCATGTGCCGTAACCACTCAGCTATCAAGGCACTCCTAACACACCGCTTTTGTGATTCATTTCTCTGATGAACAAGTGTTGTTCAATTTCTTTCACTTCTCAAAAGATCATTTGATGCCAAACGTGCTAAAAATGACTTAAAGCACATAGGAACTCAAGACGCTGACAAGTCTGAGGGTTCAGGGAGCGAACATGGATGAAAATACTACAGATGTCTTGGCTGCTCTTGAATTTGAAATGGATAACAGTTTATCTTCTAATCTGCAGTTTCATAACAGTAAATAAGGGACTGTTTTAGCTTCAGTTAGCTAACCAGTTTTTGCTTGGCCTTTATTATGGATTTATTTCTTTGTCTCTGCCTGGCTGCTCCAGAAACATTCCTTTCACTTCAGCCTAAAAAATATTTGACATATTGTAAAGCTGCCTGAAAATCTTCTGTATCATCATGTTACCCTGAATCATCCACAAAAACAATAACCAAACAATAGTCAAAAAGGCAAGTGGTTCAACTGTTAGCAGTAGAGAACTCATGCCTGAGAAACATAAGAACCCAAGATTTCTCAAAAAGCTTCTTTGTGATTGCTCCTTTTAAGGCAATGTAGCACACTGCACTATCAGAAGAAATGAAATACTTAATCTTACTTTCTCTGTTTACTGTACATCCTTGTTGTGCTCACCTGGGGAGAAGATGTCAGGGTTGAAGCGAATGTCGAAAGATGCGTTGCTGATGGAGCCGACCGCCTTGCAAGCATTGAGAACAACTTCGCGGCTTTTGGGATCTGTTTGTAATTGGGGTGTCACATAAACAGAAAAGACACATAAAGGTTAAAATAAATAGCAAAACATATACAAAAATTTAAGTGACAATTTAAACCATGTCCACATGAAGCCACCATCTTTTCAAGAGGACTCCTTAGTACGTACAAGGAAAGCAGGGCTATGACTGGGTGAACTGAGTTGGGTGCTGTGGCTCAATAAGGTAAAGACACAAGTTTTCTGTCACCTCAAAATCTGTGTACAGTCACTTATCCTAATTATATTTCCTTGGTTTATTTAGTAGGGCCAGTGCACAATATTGTGCCAGAGTTTCATCTGTAGTACTTATCATCTGTATTTTAAATAAAACAGCTGATCACACAGTACACATAGTGTTGCTGAGCTTGTAATTGAGTTTTATTTCCCAGAGGAGCTTACTGTGGACCCTTGGTCAAGCACCCACCACAGTTTCAAAGCTGCTGATCACAGATCAAGTCAGCCTATTTGACAAGATTAATGTGGATTAGCATCAGTTGAACAACATGCAAATCACTGAACATGAGATTAATTTTTGCATTCCATTAGGATCAGCTGACAGAGCACATGATTATTCATTTTTAATGGGTCAAATCACACAACAAAGGCATCACAGGCTGAACAGGGAGAAATGGGCTGATCTGGGCCTAACACATTTCTCCACTGCAGGCTGAGGACTGAGCAGGGACAGCAAGTCGGGGGGAGAGAAGCCACTATGACCCAGTACTTGATCACTGTTGTAATACTATGGACAACACGTACAAAAAAAGCATTTCCTCTAAAATTATCTGCATCAAGACACAGCTAATTCTTGGTTACATATTTCCCTCTGACTAAACATTACTTTTTACTAAGCTATTATCCACCAGAGGAGCTCTCCCTGTGTTGTCCTGCCCTTTGTTCTTTGGGGTATTTTTGAACGTACCAATACCAGATGCATCTTCACCAACTAAGGTCTCCGCCAGCTCTTTGGCCCGAGCTAATCCTGGAATATTTTCCTCAAGCTTCTTAGCCTCTAGTGGGCTCTTGTATTCCCCGTTCAAGGTGGCTGAAGGGTCTAGAGGCCCATTTGTGGAGGGGTTAGAGGACTTTTCTTTACAGTCAGTCTCTGCCTGTGAGGCAGCCGAGGTAGTGTTGTCTGTCTGGCTTATGTGGTCTGTGGAGACATCTGCTGCATTAGTAGAATCTGAGGCAGTGGTCTGTGACTGGATTGTATCAGCACTGCTTTCGACGGATGTTTCTGAGGTTTCTGTGATGGCAGGCGTATCAGCTTTGTTGGAGTCCTTGGTTGCTTTCTGTTGCATGAGCTGTAATGCTGCCATCTTCATGAAGAGAAGATATCTGAAGAGGAACAGAACCAACACTTAGACTCTACAAGTGCGATGATGAAAATATGGTTATGCACAACAGCACAGACCTGTGCTCAACAAAGGCCTCAATGAGCTCTTGGCGTAGACAGGCCAGGCGGTGGCGGTGCTGGCAAGGGAAGCCTTGGCGCTGACACTCTGGGGGCAGCTCCTCTCCGTCCACAGGTAGGAAGTTGAGGTCAGGTGGGAAAGTACGAAGAAGGTCCAAAATATAATGTCGGCCATCATTTCCAATTATGCCTTTACACTCAACAGAGGAGCACAGCTCCACTTCGTCGTTCTTCTCGTTCAACACACTGTGCCTCTGGACCTAAAATTTACATCCAATAATATATAGCAACATGAACTTGTCTGAGAGACAGAAGATCTGAATTGGTGCTTGTAAATCTCAGTAGAATCAGAGCAAGATGTTAAAGGATGGGTCTGACAATATTCTGTATTTTTTAGTTGTCAAATGAAAACCAATAATGTGATACTACCCTGTCTGATCCTCACAGGTCTAAGCCTTGTTGCTCCTGCTTAATGCAAATATTTAAAACTATGTCAACCACATAACTTTCATTTTTAAAAAGGGCCAAATCATTTCTTAAACTAGCTGCACATGGTAATTTTAAAACACATTGGTGTCCTAGTCATTCTAGTTCAGCATTCATGTTTGTGGTAATGAATAAACATAAACATGTCACCTGGGCACAGTAACAACATGGAGGTCTATTGTACAGACGAATAGGATCTATCAGGCTTTGGCTGCACTTGTTACAATATCACTTCTTTGTTCACTTTGGTGTTTTCATATGAATTATTGACAGTAAGAAAAATATTTACAGTGCACACCTTTAACACAAAAGGTGTGTACTGTGAAATAACTGGATTATCCGTAAGTTAAATAATCACTGGTTGTGTTACTGACCTTCAGCGGTCTGCTGGTCTTCTCCAGCAGCTCCAGATATTTGCTGTGAGAAACAACTGTCTTGCCAAAGTCAATGGAGCCGTAGATGACGCTCTGCTCCTGCTCACGCTCCAGGATACCTGGGATGATGGACTGAGCAGTGACACGGTAGCCTCTGTAGTCCACCACTACTGTCCCCAAGGTGTAGAGACCCTCCACATCCACCGCCCCGTAAGCTCGTACTCCATTCAAGTCATTGGTGGGCGCAGCGTGGGCAGCGGCATCTCCACCCAGCTCACGATAGTGGTCCCGCACATCGAAGCCAAGGCTGAAGAAGATGTTGTTCCAGATGAACATCTGCATGCGCGTTTCTTCACCAGGGTTGATAGCCATGACGTTGCCATCAATTACTGCCATGGCGCCTCGAGTGGCAGCTGCTGCAAAGTCACTGTGGACCTGCAGGATGGAAAAACATGGATATTAGTGATTTAGAAAAAGAAAAGGTACACATTTACACAATTTGGCATCACATTTCCCATCAGCAGACTCACACAGTGGGACACAAAGCCTGCAAAGGCTCATCCATACCTTGAATATGGCCCTCTCCCTCAGCAGCCGCTCGGGCAGGTTCTTCCGGGGCAGCTCTCTGGTAGTCTGCAGCTCCTCATTCCAATCTCGGGTCTGGAGGCGTACCAGCACATACAACTTATTAACACTGGGAAAAGAACTGTTTTATTCTGTGTGATGTGCTGCTATGTTCAAGCTGTGCCTACCTGTCCAGGAATGTGTTCCTCATAACCCAGACGGGAGGTGTAGGCATCCTCTGCCCGAACGCAGTCCATGGCATGGTCTAGCTGTGGAGCGGTCCAGCTGTACACCTGAAAAGGTGTAGCTATCCTCTCAAATGGGTGTCTCTGGACTCTGCAGCAAAAACACAGCAATAGAAAAATATATTACTTGCATATTCTTAGTTCATATATTTCAGGCCGGTTATATGAAATCTGTTTATGCTGGGAGCAGTTCTTATATCATCAAAACTAAAAACCAGTGAATGATGAGAATCAGGGGTGGATCTAGAAAATTTTGACCTGGGTGTCCAAACTCAGAAGGTTGGCACATTTGTCACACATGTAAAAAAGTTAATTAAACCCCTAATTCTATGACATGATAAGTCATACATTATTAGGAAACAGTTTATTTTGCGTAAACCACACAGTGCTTTCTTTAGCTAGCTTTTCTCGCTGCTTATTTACTCCCCACCAGGGCCACCCCTTGCTCCGCCCATGTCCTGGCCACTTTCTTGTAATCATTTTCTTTTTTAGTGTGCTTTAAGACTTTGACCTCTTGCCACATAACAGTGTTCTCTCACCTCGTTGAGTAATATTAATTGATAAATCAATTAACTTTAGAAAAAAAGCAATTCAATGAGAAATGCAACAGTAAACAAGACAAGCTTCTTTTCAGTACCAACCAAGTAGAGAAGAGAGGTTGTGAATCAGAGGGGAGACACCGAGGTATTAGAAAAGATGTGTTTCACGGTACCACAGATGAAAAGCGCTGACTTTGTTGCTCTGAATCACTCAAATAAAAAGTCACTTCGATTTAGAGAAACTAAAGACAAAGAGATGTTCTCACCGTTTTTTCTGCAGGGAAGTGAAGTTCTTCTTGAAGGCAGGGCTGATCTGGCTCAGCAGCTCCACCAGTGAATGGCTCAGGAAGCTGGGATTGGCTGGTTTGGGGTTGAAGGTGTAGGTAGTGGATCTGGAACACACACCCATTCCCTTTACTCTCATCATTCACATTAATATAACCTGAAATCTACCAACTGGAGAGAACAGATAAATAACCCTGGACTGAGGAGTAGTGTTCTTTTAGGAAGATACCTTAGTGGGGCTGTACTCTCTTGCAGATGGCCATTTAGAAAGCTAGCTGGCTACAGCTGATTTACCAATACTGATTTAGTAGGGTGCCCAAACTTTTGTTTCTGTTTTAAAACTTCATTATGGAGCTTAAAAGGCAGAGAGTTGTCTACAGTGAAAACATGGAGCTGTATGGAGATAAAACGTTGAACTGTTGACTGACTGGTTGAGGTAGAAGCCACGTGTGGAGGCAGTGATGCTGATATGGCGCTCCTCCACAGTCACGATGTACAGGTACATGAGATCACCATGCATCTTCCTGTTTCCAGGTGGAGGATTCCAGCCGCTCATGGTCAGGACCTTCAGGCACTGCATAGGCTGGTGGGAATGGAGGGGCACTGAGTGGTTATCTTTTTCTTTTTCTTTTTTGGCTTAGTATCTTTGCGGTAATCCTAAATTTCAGAAACCACTTCAGGCTTTAATAACAAGATGATACTTTTCTATTTTAGGCCTACTCATAAAAGCAGACCACGGGCTGCTCCTCACCTTCCAGTCCTTGTTCTGTGGCTGGAGGGGCACCAAGGGGTGCTCTTTGCTGCCGGGAAGGATGTGCTCTGGGGGGGTGCAGTCAATCTGCTCCAGCTCGATGCCCTTTTTCTTCCGCTTACCGCTATCTACAAAGCAGATCCGAAGCAAGGTGAAAACATGTACACTGCTGTACAACACATGCTGCAGTCACTGACCATTCTACCCCTGCTGTGTTATACTTAGCCACATAGAAGACTAGTGCGAACATCTGTATGTTAATCTGATGGTAACCTAACATGTTGCTCTCGTGTGTGAATCAGAACTCTGGTCACTTTTATGTGGGAGTCAATGGCAAAAGAACGAGAAAGAAATGCACCTTCATTCACTCTAACAGAGTTACTGCTGCTCCCTACCTCTTGTGCACAAAGACAATAAAATAAGTTTAATAGTGGAATCAGTGTGACAAATGGGGATGAGCATCCCTCACGCTTACAACAATGGTCGTTAAAGAGCCCATGGCCTGCTTTTCCTCGTTTTCTGACTTATCTACAATGTTACAATAGTGAACTATCATCTTAGATGTGACCACACCTCCAAGATCTCCATCAGTGAAAATGCTGAGGAAGGAGAGGGAGTTGCAGTCCACCCCATTGTATGCATCTGAGGGGTCCAGGCTTTTCAGCAGGTCTCTGATGTGGCGCACATGGATGCGAGCTTCACGCACTGTGTAGGGCTCTGCAGCAAAAAAGAAGAAACAAGCCCATTGGTGACAAACAGTAGGTAGTAAGATGGTTTGAGAAGTAGTAGATCAAGCTTATTAACATTTGTAATAAACTCTGGTAAAACTTTGCTAAGCAAGATACTGTCCAAGATACCGGCTGTTGATGGAGGGTAAATCATTTAAGCTTAAATCCATCTGTGTGACAGTGAAACTAATATTTTTATTTCATACCGACAAGGTGAAATGCAACACCAGATGCTTTGTCACATGTGCTGAGGCTTCACAACGGTCACACTCTGCAGCATCAACACAGAGCTCTTGGTTATTTTATGAACAGCTACATACAGTAGCAACAACAGTATTTGACAGTTGACAGTACAGCAATACTGACTGATGAAGCCTCCCAAACTAAATGTAATGTAGGCAATAGAGAGGTTTTCAGTGAGGGCAATGACTGTGTGTACTTTACTATTATAAAAAACAATGCCAGTTTTAGAACCTTGCTGAGTGACACAAAGCAAGTTCCAGCAAACAGCTACTGTCTCTCTTGAAACGCAAGAAGCAGCAAAAATGTGTTTGATTCGCACCTTCCACCACTTTGAGCAGGGAGCCCTCCTGAAGGCCCTCAATGGATTTGAGCTCAGCAAAGTTGTCTAGCACATTTCCGTCCAGCTGCAGGGAGAAGCAGGTCCGATGACAGGTGTCCTCACGGTCCATCAACACCTGATGGATCTCCTGTACCATTTCCTGGGGAGAGACCTGAAAGAGGGGAGTGAACAGAAGACATGAAATGATGGAGGTAAGCACAGCTTCAGCAATATTTCAGAATCAGAATCAGCTTTATTGGCCAGGTGTGTCGGACACACGAGGAATTTGATTCTGGTGCAGCGGCTCTCAACGTGCATGTACATATCCCCAAGGGGCAAGTAAACAGTAAACCAACATAAGGCTGTGTAGTATAACAAAATAAACAATATTAACAAGCATCAAACAGTGCAAACAATGCAAAATAAACAGTATAAACAGGCATCAAACAGTGCAAACAATGCAAAATAAACAGTATAAACAGGCAGTAAACGATGCACAGACCAAGGAATGCTCATCGTGAAACAAGATAAATATCACTTATTACACATCAATTATTTCTTTTCTCTCTGTTGCATGTCAGTTATAGTCAGATTACTGTGGTCTGTTTGAACACAAGTGAAAAAACTGCAGCTTATCCTGACCTGCAGGTCAAACAGCTCTATTCCAGGTGCCTGGATCTTAACAGTGAAGCCTGTGTCCTGGATCACTATCACTTCCTGTTCATTAGACTCCTCTTCTCCGTCTGCCTCTCCACTGCCATCCTGTTTCGAGTCCCCTTCCTTCGTGTGCTCGTGAGCTCCATCACCATTCACCATGGCTTTATCTGCACCCTGCCCTGCAATGAAAAAAACGCAGAGATCATCAGCTGGTTAACAGCCGTTCAAATTCAGAGATGGAGACGCTCAACTGTCAATACATCATTTAAACTATTAAAACCTCTCATTTAAAAATGCAATAAAATGTTTTTGGTTACTTGTGGACAACAAGCTGTAGACAACAAGCTGTGAACACAACGTTAACATACCTTCTTTTGAGTTAATACAAGGAACCTGACAGTAAAATGTGTGTTATTAACAAAGTCGTGTTTTTTATATCTGGTCACCTGTCGAATATTCACTTTCTTTTGACTCTGTTTCTGGTCTCTACCAACTCCAGGGGGAAATACCAGGTTCTTTGGCTCCTTACCTCTCCATTATGTTCCCCATTCAGTCTCTAAATGTCACCCTCTGGTGCTGGGGACTAACAAGTGTCCAGTGGGTTTTTAGAGCTGTTTTGCTAAAACAGCTGTGGCTGAGACGCCATGAAGCAATGGGAGGGAACCAAATGGTAAAGCTGTGGCCCCGAAGGATCAACAATGAGCCTAAAATCTTCTTTTATCACCCTTTTTACAACGGTTAACTTTACAGCTGTCATTAGTGATTAATCTCATCTACAGGGAGCAGCATGTTCAGCCAGCCAGTCATGCACAGTGAGTCACCCCCCAAAGCTACAACACCAGACCTTTCTACCACCTGAACAGAGACACTGCCAGGCAGCTACTTGACAACCAAGGCACACACACCCAGAAGATGAATGACCTTTCCCATAGCCTTATGAAATATGTAGGGATGGGTGAAGAAAGCCCATAAAGCTAAACTACAGTTCACTAGTGCCTTAGTGTGACATTTAATTCAAATATAAATTAATTCAACACAAACTGCAAAGCAAGGGTGAGTGGATCTGGATGCCCTGGTTTCACTTTCACCAATAATCACCATGGCATTATCTGTCCAAGTACAAACTCCTCTAAAAGACAAAACTTAGTACTTAGTTTCCAACACTGGACTGATTCTAGCCAAGAAAACTCGAGGGACTGAATACAAAAGATTTTTCTTTGTCCCAGCAAGAGCTGGTGGTCACTTGCATGGCTGACTGAGACTGATGCAAATGCAGGGACTCAGCTGGTAGTTGCTCCTTCATGGACATTCTATCCCTCCATATTACAAGTGTTTTTTTGTCTTATGCAACAACAACAACAAAAAAACAAACAAATTAAGGGGCCCCTGCTCCACGTCTTTTCCTTATACACATTATGCATGCATTATGTTTCCCACCCTTTCTAGAGTGATTCAGTTCAAGTGACACGAATGGGTTCATTAATTTAAAGAAGCAGGGCTGTGAAAGTGCATGTCAGACAAGTGTGTTCTCTCACTGGGCAAACTTCTGCCAGCCAGTGTGTCCTTGCTTGTCAGGGTTAGTGAAGAGCAAGGGCCTGAGGGAGGGGCGGGGCCTCATAACAGGACCACGACCCCGGGTGGGAACAAGCACACAAAAACAACAGAGGAGTGGCTGTCCCGCTCTGAATAACAAACACAGTGGCTCCAGAGCAGACACTCAAGGTAATGTTACAAAGCAGCAGAAAATGACAGCTCGGTGTTGAACGCTTCAGTGTAGCTGTCTGTGAAATGTCTCATAGACCCTTCAGTTTTCTAGTAGCCAATGACATCTAGAACAGCAGTTCTGAAACTTTTTCTGTCATGACGTTCCATTCACAAGACAAAACCAACAATCACAAACAACATCCTAGTGTAAACTGGTCAAACATTTTTGTGTGTTAGCTTGTTGGTCACACTAAACAAGACATTTGCAAAAAAATCATGTGCTCTTGGAAACTGATGGTAGATTTATAGAGTAAAGGATTATTTAGGAAAATAGGTGGTAGTGACGAATTATGAAAATAACCATTAGTTGCACCATTATTCTTTAACAATATTATTTTATATCATTGTAAATTATGTACCTTTGGGTTTTCTTTTTGGTCAGAAAAACTCAATTTAAGCTCTGGGAACTTGTAATGGTCATTTGTCACTATATTCTGATATTTTATAAACTAAAATATTAACATGACATGAAAATCACAGGCTTATTATTGACTTAATTCAACAGTTCATCTTCAAGTTGTGCATTTTTGAAACTCTCAACTTATTCCATCTAAAGACAGTGTCATCATAAGGGACAAAGGGTGGAAGGGGAGTTGGATGACTACAGCTTTTAGACGAGTGAGGCAATCCCACAGCCGGTGTGTTGCAAAACTGACCCATTTAGCCCCAGAGTAATGGAAGAAAG